GTGCTGGGGGTCCCCTCGGCGCTGAGGGGTCGGTCTCCCCGGTCGGGGTCGGCGGAGCTCACCGGCGTGGACGAGGCGGTACCGCCGCTGCCCGGTGTTCCTCTGATGGTTTCTATAACTGGTAATGACCCCTCAGGACGGGGTAGTTCACGGGCACAGTTAAGCCTCTGCAGTTCAGCTTCATTTTAACAAGGACCTTGGAAAAAAGTAGGAATTTAGGTAGCGGCATGCTGGTACCCTCAGAACGTATGTTGAAACTACACTTCATCTAAAGGGAACCCCCGAACTGGCCACCAGAAATTTAAACAGAATTTTTAAGTGATTGATTAACCTGGGGTAGTTTTAGTTGCTTGTTTATCTGATGGTAAAAGTAAGCCCAAACCAGTGGCCTAACAGTACAAGTACCGTGAGGATACAGCGTTTTTGAAGCATGCCTCGACTAGCTTTAAAATTCTGTTTTAATTCCAGGTTGAGGAGTTGGCCCCTCTGATGAAGGTGCCTTTTAACACAGGCAGTGGTCAGTGCCAGAGCAAGTGGCCAAGATAATGTTGCCAAATGGCATTTTTCACCCTTCCAGGGCATCACGTTTGATATAACTCCTGCCTCTGAGCCAAGTGTAAGGCAGACATCCATTCCGCTCCCAGTGGGCCCTTTGGGTAGCCGTAACACACACCTGCTGTCTTGTTGCCTCTGAACCCTGTGGGTAGGAACTGCTTCTGCTGAACAGGCCAAGGCCTGAACTTCGGAACCCCTTCAGCCCTCAGTGAGTGGAATTACAGCACTAATGGCACTGTGAGTTTGTTTTATCTACAGCCTGCACCCATGTCATGTCTTGCTGCTGATAATTTCCACAGCAAAGTAATTCTTGCCTTGCCCCTGCTGCAATGGGTGCAATAAAATCTCAAGGGAGGTATGTTGGATCCTTGGAGCTGAGTGTCTTCCTCATCATTCATACATTATAATGTGGGGTGGGATGGGGTGAAGAAGTCTCACTTCAGGGAGAGCCTCAGCTTTGGCACGTCAGTTTTATTGCAGTTGGATCAAGCCACTATGGGTGATACACCATTTATGTTGTGGGTGCAGCTCAAATGGATTAGGTAAAGTTAGCTCCTTGACATCTCATGGGCAAGACCAAGGTTTTCCTGCGGAGGTACCACCACAGTTGATGATCTCATCTTAGAAACCGAGTTTTACAGTGAAGACCAGAGTTGCTCTGGTGCTCACAGCTCACATTTTTGTAACTGAAACTTCTAGTTTTATTTCTTTACAGATGTTGTATGTAGGAGTGCAGGCAGTTGAGTTGCTAAAGATAGAGGGTCATATATAAATCTGCAGTGCTGCTCCCTGTGATGTCTTTGTTGTGAAGCTAGTGGTTGGACGTTTGGATATGTGTAGTTGCTAATAGCACTGGTAAGGAATATCACAGACAATCTGTATGCCAGGATCTGTGAGAACTTCAAGCATGTGTGAGGAGACCAGTGTGTCTTATACCTTCTCCGTCACGATTTCTGCCTTTTCCTACAGAAGTCACCCTTCATTCTGCCCCTTTCAATCCCATTGAACCATTAACATTTTAAAAGCCTAAAGCTACAAAACCAGTATGCCTTTTTGTCGAGATACCTCTGTTGCTATGTGTACAACATGGCAAGTGTACCTTGAAGGTTATACCCAGCTGGTGTTTGTATCTGAGCTGGTTACTGATTCAAGCTCAGAGCCTTCCTAGTTCTGCCCAGCTTCCTCCTGCTTGTCAGCGCTGTCCTCTGCGTGCAGCTTCCCTTCTGTCCCTGCATACAAACGTGCAGAGGACTTGGAGGTATATGAAGTATTTGTTAACTGTTTTTTTGGTTAAAGTATGCCTGAAAATTTCTTTGCTGTAGTGTTCTCTCCCTCCTGAATAACCTCTTAATTTTCCCTTTGCTCCCTGTGACTGTTACCGCTTTGTAGAGCGAGGGCCCTGAGCAGTCTCCCTACAAGTGCACATAGACTCCCGGCTTCAGGGCACTGTGACTGACCTTTTGTTACATGCTGTATTAAGTAGTGCTTCCCCTGGAACAGGGTAAATGGTATGTAGTGCACTGAGGTAACCACCTTGGGTTGTCAGTTCCGTGGAGAGAGACAGGAGCTGATGGAATATGCCACCCTACAGAGCCTCCCCACCTGGATGTGCTTTAGTGCCTGTACCTGCCGGAGGTCCCCAAGCTGTCAGTGGGATTCTGTAGCTGAAGGAGCTGTTCTCTTCTGGTGTGACTTGCTCAGTTACGCAAATCACAAAACTTGTAACTTTGCTGTTTTCCCGATGCAAAGGTTAAGGTGGCACACACATACTGATCAGTCCTTACTAGATGCTCTCAGAAGATCTTTTCTAAAGTAAATATTCATCGTGTTTGTGCAGAACAGGTTTTGTCTGTAGTGAAGCTTGTGGATTGGATGTGATTGTTTAGGTTTTGTTTGTTTGTTTGTTTGTTTTTTGTTTTTTTGTTTAGAAGAGTGTGTACTTCTGTATGGGTTATCTTTGCAGTAGATTTGAGTTGCAGAATTCTAGCAAGCTTTCCATGCAGAGCCATAGAGAAATGTTTGTGAGATTTCAGAATTTTAATTTTGGTATAGTTCTGCTGCTTCTTCAGAAATGTTAAATTGCTTATTTATATATTAAAACAGTTCTACTCCTTATCTGTGCTGAAAAACCTCAGGAACCCTAGAACAAAACCACAACCAATGTCCATATATTATGCAATATATGCATCTGCAAGTGATGATATCTCTGGTGGTTGTTGTAGATCAGAGGGAAGGTTATGGAGTTTTCATCTCTGTGATGAAGGTTGAAACATGAGTCTTTGGTTTCTAGGCCTGTCACAGTTAGAGTAGGTGCTCTAGTCTGTCAAGATATTCAGAGGGTGAGGGAAGTTTAGACAGCATCAGGTCATACTGAACTCTTAAAGTAATATGTATCAATCCAATCGTGTATGGGTTCTATTTCCAGGAATATTTGCTTGGTCTTTCTACCTTGTCAATGGTCGTCGTGTCTTATCAGCAAAGCCAACATGCAGATTTTGAGGATTATGTGTTATAAAACCTTTTTTAATGTTGTTATTAGCAATTCACATTCACATACTTGGTGCACTTTGCTAAAGGTTTCCAGTACATGCAGAAGGGTACAGCACTGTTGGGGAAAGAAGCTATTGTGTCTTGAAGATGTTGTGGTAGTCCACAGTATTTTTCTGGAAAGTATACAAAAATCCAACTTTCAGCAAGCAATATCACTTGAGAGCTGTTTTATGCAAATTTTTAAACCCATTCTTTGTTCATTGGCTTAGCCAACTAAGGAAACAACTTTTCTAAGTGTGGTGGTTGTTTTAAAGTTAATGTCTTAGTCTCTAAAGATTTTGTTTAGTTTCTGAGACAGCACAACAGAGCCCATTCAGAGATAATGCTTTCTGAAGGGTAAAAACACAATTGCTGTTACAACTCCAAACTCTCTTTGAGACACAAAGCTGGCTTGTTCTACTGTGTTTCCTCAAGTGGTAAGCTGAAGATGGAACCTATTTTGGATACAGCTGAAATTTCTGCTTCCATTCTAAGCTAAATAAATTACTATCTGAAAAGCTATAAATAAATCCTAGCAGAATTTTTTTTTTTCCAGAAGTAGGTTTTTCTTCTTCCCTTGCAACTGATGATCTTGAAATTTAGAGCACATTTCACAGGGATGTAGTTATTTTTCTTCATTCATGCCCATATCCATCTCTTGAGTACTCTCAGATACTCAGTTGCATTTCTTATGCACTTACTCAGCAATATCGCTGACTGGAGTGTCATTAAGTGAAGATATTTTGGGTTTTTTTTCGTGCAGACATGATGAAGGTGGTTGCCTGGCAGAGGTGAAGTTCTGTATTGTAATTATGGGCGATACAAATAGTAGCATCTGGTTAGCATGGAGTGCTATAGGGGTGCTACTTCTAGTAATGCAGAAGTGCTCTTTCTGTGCCACTAGTATAGAAATACATTCACAGGACATAGGTTTCTATTTTAGCTAGTGAAAATGCATTAAACTTGGTACTAATTCCTTTAACTTCTTGGCACTGTTGGAAGAACAACTTATCAGTTATTTAAATAAGGGAGTGTCTATGTAATCTTCCATAGTTGAATGAATGCCTTTTTTGGGTGGAACTTCTAATGTCAAATCCCAGTACTGTGTTGGCCTTGAGCAGAATTAGACCCAAGAAACCATCTAATGTCTGGGAAAAGAGGAATGCAAGCAAACTTCTGCTAAGGTTTTTCTGTAGGAGCTGCCAATTTCAACTCTAATGCGCAGTACTGAAATCAGTACAAATTTGCATATAGGTTGTCCCTGATGAGGTATTTACTATTTCTGGGAGGAAAAAGGAAAAAAAAGCAAACTGTATTTCTTAAAACTGAGCCCTGAAGGAAATGCTTTTCTTCTAGGTATACTGCAGCATCCGGATGGGACTGTGCTGAAGCAATTGCAGCCACCACCTCGTGGTCCCAGGGAGCAAGAGTTCTACAACAAGGTGAGGGAGCTGGAAGGACGGGTGTGCTTCTTGTAGAAGTACATCCTTAGTGTTGTGGTTGGAAAAGTGCAACCTAAATAACTAAATGATAGGTCACTGACAGCCTGGTCGTGGTATCTGTGTGCTGGGTAGAACTTTCTTCCCTCGAAATCGCTGTCCCCGTGCCAGACCTACTTCACTCACAGGATTTAAGCTAGTTTATTTCCTCATGGGACAGCGGGGTTTTCACAGCATCTAAGATTTTATTGAAAAGCCTTGTATTATCTCCATCTATGATTAAAGGGTGGTATGTTTGATCCCATCTTTCTCTTGTCACTGAGTGTCTCAGAATTGGTTGCATCTAAAATTAGCATGTCTCACGCTTCCGTCTAGTCTGGTTTATTACTAGAAGTATTGCTCTGTTCACTGTATTAAAACTTAGCTCATTTTAAAAGTCAAGAAAAAGTGACTCTGATTGTTTATTTTTCCTGTTGCTCATCTTCAACTTGCTTTATCAGTAACTTTAATAACACAAACCAGGAAAGCTGTTGCTTGTTGTCTTATGAGGGTAAACTGTTTAGACCATCTTTCCCTTACCTACCTACCTGCCAGTGATAGTCCATCACCTGTTTTTGCTAGATCAGCTTGATACATCATCACTTTTCATGGCTTATTAGGTGTAAAGAACTGTAGAAATCATCTTGCAGGATTAGAGAGGAGTCTTGAGACCCTCTTTTTTGTAGCGTTGTTTGGTTTGGGTTCCTTTCTCCTGCTCCCTCCCCCACCCCAAGGGTATTATTTTAAATTATGAGAAGACCTCACACATTTTGTGGAAATACCTCACATTAAAACAAACTGAACAACATGCTCTAAGCTAACAATATGTTTGCATGGTAGCATTATTTGATAATTCTCGTGATGGGACTGCTAGACAGCGCAGCAGCTTTTGGGTTATTAGGAAGTCGACAGGAGCCAGTTAAATCTAAATGTAAGTATTTTTCTGAGATTTCTCAGTGACTGTCATTTAGATGAGGTTAAGAATGGTGCAATCCAGCCTGAGCAGTAACTCTTCAGTAGAAGGAGAAAGCTTGAACCGATTCCTTTGAGTGCCAGGTTACTTACTCTTCTGTGAAATCCTGAGGTACGGACAGTAAACCTGTCTAAAGCTAGCAGGTAAGAGGATAAGCTTGAGCACTGCTTAGACATTAACCGTTCACAGCACAGGTTTTATCATTTTGCCTGCTTCTAGGGCTTATGTGACAAGGCGTGAGCAAGACTCTGGGCAAAATCTTTGAGAAAGAGGTCTGTGTTAGTGCCTATGTTACTATGCCGTGTCACAGTGGAAGAAGTCAGGTCTCAGTGCTGGTAACTTGCAGATTTAGCTTCCATTATATCCTCCAGGGCCTTGCTGGGTCACTTCAGATTTTTTTGGTTATAAGCCATTTGGGATGGGGGTTGAGAAATTCGTGAAAAATAATGGAGAAAGGGAAAGGTGTATACGTGCTTGGTTGTACGTGGACTAGAATGCCTTTTTGTGGGAGAAGGGAAGGAGAGCAAACACGTACGTTATAAGGTGAAAGTACAGGAGAAAGGTCTTAGGGATTTGTTTCTTCTCAATGACTAACTACTGTCGTGTTTGCTCTCAGGCAAGAACCATGTGATATATACAGGATATAGACACCTAAGCACTACCTATGGTTGGTACAAGATGAGGATTACTGCAGATTGTGAGGTTCAGTGTAAGGTACAGTTTCACGTACAGCTTGAGCTGGTAAAATAGCTCATTGCTGCCAAGAGGGAAAGGCCTTTCTTCCTATTCTTGCCATTTACCTTGTGCTTTGCTGGTGCTTTTTGGAATCAGTGATCTGACTTGACATATTTAAAAGACTGCATGTCTTCCTTGTGTTGGTAGTCTTCTGTTGGTTTTAGGGATTAAACTGGTAAGGAGGGGGCACAACAGCAGGACTGCCCTGTTTTGGTGACTGAGCTCAATGCTCTTGTGGTCTATAATCAAAGAGACGATATCACCTTGGAGTAAGCTAATGAGTCTCCAGAGAATGGGGGAAGGAGAATTTTACCACTCTTTGAGACAAGGGGTGGTTTACAAGGCAGTCAGGTACAGAAGATGGTGAGCAACAGAGCAGAAATGAAACAAGTGAAACAAGACTGATGAACCCCAGGCTGTTTCTTTGTCAGGACTAGACACTGATAAGATCAGACCAGAAGGTTATCCATTAGTATATGTGGATTAATCATGACTTTTTTTGTTTCTGCACCTATTTATTCATATGTGCTTAGAACTGCTTTGTCTGTAGCAAGAGATCAGCTATTGCTTCCTTTGCGTGCTACCTTACTCTGTCCTGAATTAAGGTTAGTACCCCAGTACCTGGGCCGGAAATGCGTGGGGTTTTTCACTTACAGGTAAAGTAAACCTCCTTGGCTGAAGTAATTGAGAACCTCTGTAGTTTATGATAGCAAGAAGATGAACGTGTCTCAGTTTCAGCTGTACAAGTCAGCTGAAGAGCAGCTATCTTGGATCTGAGGCAGAAGTGCCTTCCTGTAAGCAGCAGTGCCCAGGAAGCGGTATTTCAGCATGGGGTCTGAGTGCTCGTGAGCTGAAGGTTGCTGGGAATGTGTTATGAGAGAAGATAATGAGGCATTAAGAGACAAGTTTGACTATAACTGATATATTTAACATGATACCAGGTAGATATCTTCTATCTGGACAAGACAGTCTTCTCTTCTGAACCTGCTGAATTTGCCTGCAGCTGGATGTGTGACTATGACAGAGGTGCCATAGTCTCTGTCAGCAAATTTTTTTTTTTTTCCCCTGGTTATTGATGGGTTATTTTCTATTGAGCTGAAGCCAAGTGCTGACCGGTAGAGCCCAGACAAAATGGACTTCCATTTTCGAATGGAGATTTGAACAGAATACTAATAGTGATCTGAAACCTGCTTAGAAGTGTGTGGCAGCTGGTAGTTTTGAAGAATTTCATAGGTCTCTGTCAAAGTGGAAACCTGGAAAATCTCTCAAGAAATTCCTGCTCAGACTGCCATTAGGTTACCTTTCTGTTTTCCTGGTAGTACATTTTCAGTTCAGCAGTTTTTTTAAAAAAAAATGACCCACCCTCTCAGTACAGGTCTTCTTTCTGAAGAGATTATTTCACCAAGTAAATCAAACTTTTATGTCTATTATAGCAATAGTCATTCTCTACTGATGGGGAAATGGCTTGCCGTGATTCTGTGTTATAAGGGAGGGGAAAAATAGCGTATGACAAGATTATCGTGAAAACCTTCTATGATAAAATGTAGTAGAACAATGACCTGTTTGTATTAATTGTTAATAACTCACTATGTATTGCTTATCATTGGAGTGTGACTTTCCAGTGGTAATGTCCACTTTCTGTTGGGTTCTGTAAATAAGAGTAATTATCAAATCAAAATAATATTTTAATTTTGTTCCTGCAAACTCCCTTCCTGTACCTGAGGGCATGAACTACTTACAGGCTGTGTAACTGTGGAATGTTTTACCAGGTCTTCTGGTACCCTTATCTGGGTAAAAAATGTGGATTTTTTTAACCTTGAATAGCTACAAAATACTTTGTTTTCAGTAGGTATGAGCAACAAGAGAATGAAAAAATTGACATAGAAGAGTTGTGTTTTTTTAAGGACTATCTACACTGATGATCAGTTGTTTCCATCTAATGGAAATACTTGGTGAGAACACGTAGGTGGAGGCACTCCAAAGGACTGCTTTTAAAGGAGTTTCAGGAGGGAGCAGTATACAGAGATGTGGAAATTGGGAAATAGTGCTGTTTGAAAATATAGCGTAATATAGTATGTAGTAGCGACCCGTTTCCATTAAAGAAAATAAATTGGTAAAAAGCAGTATGTGTTTATGGTAGGCTGCCTACACATGCATGCTAAGAAATCCACAAAAGCGGGCTACTACTCAGTGTGGTTTAGTACTTGGCTTCAGCCTGCTTTATGCCAGGGCTCATCTATACAGGCTGAAACAGTCTGATTTAATTTAGTGTTGGGCGAGGGAAGAAGCCTATCGGTGGTGATCTGTTCTGGCAGATGAGTTGGGAACAGTGAGGAAAGCATCCTTTGATAAGGTTAGTGCAGTCACTGTATGAAGTAAAACCTCCCTGCATAGCTGGATACAGAGCTCTTGTCTCAAACATGCCAGGCTGTACCCAAGAGTAGTAGTGTGTGCTAGCATAACTTTCTCTTCCTATTTAAGAGCTATCCTCTTCAGCACAAGGGTTTTTCTTAATTTGTCATGTCAAGAATGTAGCCTTGCAGAAACTACTGTCTTGTAGATGCCCGCAGGAGGGGGAGGAAGCTGGAATGTCAGGCTTTAAATAGGGCAGCCGCTTTGAGGGCACAAAGGGATAGAGCTTGAGCTGCAAGTATTTAAAACTGAGGAAGAGAGAATTACAGTTGTTGAGGTTACCTTCTGACTACAGTCTCCTACAAGCTGTGTGTTTAGCACTAAGCGATCACAGAATCATTCAGGTTGGAAAAGCCCCTTGGGATCAAGTCCAACCCTCAGCCCGACTCTACAAAGTTCTCCCCTACCCCACATCCCCCAACATCTCATCTAAACGACCCTTAAACACACCCAGGGATGGGACTCCACTGCCTCCCTGGGCAGCCTGTTCCACTGTCTGACCACTCTTTCTGGGAAAAATCATTTCCTAATGCCCAGATGGAGGGTAAGAGGAGGCCACTGAGCTGGTTTGCAATGGCAGCTCTTTGACTTCTGTCGTTTGCTCGGTGGAGCTGTAAACCTCCATTACTGTGTGTACCTGTCCTGAGCATGGCATACTGAAGTTTTAAAGGTTGCTCATGCAGTAGCTAATAAACTGGGATTTTATGCTTAACAGTTCATTAAATGTTCCTGTAAACTTTTATTTGAATTGCCCTTCTGCTCTCCTGAGGTGACTGTGTGATGCTTGGGGTATGAGCAGTACACCTTCCCCCCTTATCCTGCCTGCTGAAAACCGTCCCGAGAA